TATAATGCATAAGTCTGGAAACATTAGAAAGGCTTAATCATAAAACTATATTGAGGAGACAGATTATCCATTTGTCTTTCAGACCCACACTATGGTTTTATTCAAGTTCCTTATTCAGCAACAAGCTTGCCTTCTGACTGTTCTTAGTTGCTTGACTTTCTTCCCTGGTGAATGATTGTTGTTGTTGCAAACTGGAGATGAGATTTTCCCCTTGTGAATCAAAGGAAATAAGTTACTCATCCTTTGCCCTGGGGTTTGACATCATTAAGTTAGTGAAGCCCACATAAAAGCTTAGAAAAATAACCTTTAGAGTTTTCCATATCCTTAATCTCATTAGTTATCTTAGCAAATAATTTAGTAACTCTTTAGGGAGAGACCAAATTTCAATCTAAAATTAACTAGCTCAAAACAGTCAGGTAATTATGGAGATAATTATGGAAGGGACAGATACTTCAGACACCTCTTAATGTTGTCTTTGTTGCTAGAAAACACTTAGGAAACGCCTGTCTCTTGGCTCTTCTTAACATTAGTCTATTCCACAAGTTCTATCCCTTTTTCCAATTATTTACATTCATCATCTTCTATCTTGTCATGGAGTTCTGGTGTGGCACTGTAGTTAAACACTCAACTGCAAGGTGGGTTTGAACCTCAAAGTCAGCAGTTTGAACTCACCAATGGCTCCCCAGAAACTCTCTTCAGGGTCGCTATGAGTTAGAAATGACTCAACAGTACTTAAAAACAACAGCAACAACAATCTTATCATGGAGTCCTGGTGTGGTACTGTAGGTTAAGCACCAGACTGCTAACCCCAAGGTGGGTAGTTCAAACCCAACTAGCCACTCCTTGGAAACTCACTATAGGGATGCTATGAGTCAGACATGATTTGAAAGTGCTGAACAGAAACAACAATCTTCACATAGGGGGTCTTGGTGTGATGATGTAGAATAAGTACTAGACTGCTAATCCACAGGTCGATGGTTCAAATCTACCAGCCACTCCTCGGAAACCTTATACAGGGTTACTGTTTGTCAGAAAAGACTTGAAGGCACTTACTTAATAACAACAAGAACAATAGTCACGTAAGGAGCGTGCTGGCTCTGTAGGCTAAGCACTGGACTGCTACCGTAAGATTGATGATTGGAGCCCAACAGGCGTACCATGGATGACAGACGAGGTTTTCTGCTCCCACAAAGATTTACAGCCTCAGAAATCCAACAGTATAACTAAGAGTCAGAAGCTATGCAGTGACACTGAACAACAACAGTTTTACAGGTGCATGTGAATGATGTACCATGAAAAAGGACCATCTAAGACTTGATGCATTTCAGTTATGGTGCTGGAGAAGATTATTAAAAGTTCCATGGACTTCCAGAAGACCAAACAAATCTGTCTTGGAAGAAGTGCAGCAAGAATGCACCTGAGCAGCAAGGTAGGCGAGACACTCTCTCTCATACCTGGGACATCTCACCAGTCCTTGGAGAAGGGCATCATTCTTCGTATAGGGGAAGGTCAGCAAAAAAGAGGGAAATGTCCAAAGACACAATTGCAGCAGCAATGGACTCAAACGTAACACTACTTGGGAGGATGGCACAGGTCACTATGAGTACTAAACCTCTGCATTACCAGGGTCCCTTTATAATATTTCATGTTGTTATTATGTGTCATTGACACAATTCTGACTCATAGTGGTCTTATGCACAACAGAATGAAACACTGCACCACCCTCACAATCATTGTTAGTTTTGAGTCCGTTGCTACTGCCCCTGTGTCAATCCATCTCGCTGGGGTCTTCCTCTTTTTTTTTTTTTTTTTGCTGGCCCTCCACTTTACCAAGCATGATGTCCTTCTCTAGGGACTGGTTCCTCCTGACAACATGTCCAAGGTACGTGAGGTGAAGTCTTGATATCACAAGTTCTAAGAAGCATTCTTTATTTACTTCTATCTACGCAGATTTGTTTGTTCTTCTGGTTGTCTATGGACTTTTAATGCTCTTCTCCAACACCATAATTAGGATCCATTGATTCTTCTATTGTCTCCAACTTCCAAATGTTATGAGATATTTTAAAATACCACAGCTTCAGTCAGGCACACCTTAGTCCTTAGTTCATCAGTAAATATTTTAAGTCCTCTTCACTGTCAGCAAGCAAGGTTGTAGCATCTGCATATCGCAGGTTGTTAATTAGCCTTCCTTCAATTCTGATGCCACATTTTCTTCATATAACCCATCTTCTCAGATTATTTGCTCAGCATATAGGTTAAATAAGTATGGTGAAAGAATACAACCTTGTCACACACCTTTCCTAATTTTAAACCATTCGATAGCCCCGTGTTTTGTTCGAAAAACTGCCTCTTGATCTATGTACAGGTTCCTCATGAGCATAATTAAGTGTTCTGGAATACTCATACTTCGCAATGTTGTCCATAGCTTGTCATGGTCCACAAAATCAATGGCCTTTGCATAGTCAATAAAACAGGTAAACATCTTTCTGATATTCTCTGCTTTCAGCCAAGATCCACTGGACATCAGCAATGATACTCCTCATTCCCCGTCCTCTTCTGAATCCAACTTGAACCTGTGGAAGTTCTTTGTCAATGTATGGTCGCAGCTGTTTCTGTATTACCTTTAGTAAAACTTTACTCTCTTGAGATATCAAAGATATTGTCCAATGATTTCTACATTCCATTGGGTTACCTCTCTTTCAAATGGGCACAAATATGGATCTCTTCCAATTAGCTGTCCAGGTAGTTGTCTTCCAAATTTCTTGTCATAGATGAGTGAATGCCTTCAAGTGCCATCATTTGTTGAAGGAGTTCAATTTGTATTCCATCAATTCCTGGTGCCTTTTTCTTTGCCAATTCCTTCAACACACCTTGGACTTCCTCCTTCAGTATCATTTGCTCTTGATTATATGCTACCTCTTGAAACGGTTGAACATTAACCATTTCCTTTTGAAACTCTGTGTATTCCTTCCATCTTCTTTTGATGCTTTCTGCATCATTCAATAATTTACTCATAGAATCCTTCAATAACGAAAGTTGAGGCTTGAATTTTTTCTTCAGTTCCCCCAGCTTGAGAAATGCTGAGCGTGTTCTACCCTATTGGTTTTCTAACTCCAGATCTTTGCACATATCATTGCAATATTTGACTTTGTCTTCTCTAGCTGACCTTTGACATTTTTTGTTCAGCTCTTGTCCCATTTCATATCTTCCATTTGCTTTAATATCTCTATGCTGGAGACCAAGTTTCAGAGTCTCTTCTGACACCCATTTTTATCTTTTCCTTCTTTCTTGTCTTCTTAATGACTTTTTGCTCTCTTCCTGTATGATGTTCTTGCTGTCATCCCACAACTCTTCTGGTCTTCGGTCTTTAGTGTCTAATGTATCAAATCTGTGTTTCAGATGATCTCTAATTTCAGGTGGGATATATTCAAGGTCATATTTTGGCTCACATGGACTTGCTTTCATTTCCTTCAGCTTCAGTTTGAATTTGCATATGAGCAATTGATGGTCTGTTCCACAATCTGCCCTTGGCCTTGTTTTCACTGATAATATGGAGCTTTTCCATCATCTCTTTCCACAGTTGTAGTCAATTTGATTTCTGTGTATTCCCTCTGGTGAGGTCCATGCATATAGTCGTCTTTTATGCTGTTTAAAAAAAGGTATTTGAAATGAACAAATCATTCATTTTACCGAATTCTATCATGTGATCTCCAGCATAATTTTTATCACCAAGGCTATATTTTCCATCTACTGATCCTTCTTCTTTGTTTGCAACTTTTGCATTCCAATCACCAGTGATTATCAATACATCTTGATTGCACGTTCGATAAATTTCAGATTGAAGAGTTGATAGAATCTTGTATTTTATCTTCACTGGTTTTAGTGATTGGTGCATAAATTTGAATTATAGTGGTATTAACTGGTCTTCCCTGTAGATGCATGCATATTATCCTATCACAGACAGCGTTGTACTTCATGACTGGTCTGGATATGTTCTTTTTGACGATGAATGCAACACCATTCCTCTTTAATTTGTCATTCCAAGCATAGTAAACCATGTGGTTGTCAGATTCAAAATGGCCAATACCAGTCTATTTCAGCCTAGGATATCGATGTTTATGTGTTCCATTTCATTTTTGACAGTTTCCAATTTTCCTAGATTCATACTTCGTACATTCCATGCTCTGATTATTAATGGATGTTTACAGCTGTTTTTAAAAATTTTGAGTTGTGACACATCAGCAAATGAAGGTCCTGAGGGCTTTACTCCATTCATGTCCTCACCATAATTCTACTTTGAGGAGGCTTCCCCAGTTGCATTTTGAGTGCCTTCCAAACTGAGGGGCTCATTTTTCTGGCACTATATCTGACAGTGTTCCTCTGCTATTTATAACATTTTTAGTAACTAAATATTCAGAAGTAGTTTGTCTCTCCTTCTTCCTAGTCTGTCTTCATCTGGATGCTCATCTGAAACCTGTCCACCATGGGTGACCCTGCTGGTATTGAAAATACTCATGGCATAGCTTCCAGAATCACAGCAACTCACAAGCCACCACAGTACAACCAACTGATAGACAAGTGGTAGCATGTTGTTGTTAATTGTATTCAAATCAGTTCCCATTCATAGTGACCTTGTATAGGGTTTCTGAGGATCCACTGGTGAGTTTGGACCAACCTTGTGGTTAGTAGTTCAATGCTTATCCTATGGCACCATATTATATTGGTGATTAGTGGTTATGTGCCGTGGAGTCGGTTCTGACTCATAGCAACCCTTTACAGGGTTTCTGAGGCTGTAAATATTTATGGGAGCAGAAAGCCTCATCTTTCTCTCATGGAAGAGCTGATAGTTTTGAACTGCTGACCTTGTGGCTTGCAGTCCAATTCATAACCACTACACTACCAGAGCTCCTTAACTAACTTTAGCATTAACTAACATAACACTATGTTAGTTAATGCTAAATGTTATACATTTCTCATTAAACTCTTACCATGCTTGTTAGTACAGACATGAAATAAACCAAATAGATTTAGATAACTGCCATCATACGGAATGTGGTAAGTGTAATGCAGATGATGACATCATTGACAATCGAAATTCCTTCTGAGTACTCTAAAGAACTCTATTGTAATGAACTGAGACAGTAATCCCTATTGATGACCAGGGTATGAAGTGCTCAGACATACATGCATTAGGTTAATATCCACTGACAGCTCTTTAAATAGGCTTCTCCAGTTAATTCCATCAGAGTTACCACCCAGAGCGCTAACTTTCTTGCGTGCTAAATGTCAGAAGGGTCTGTCTATGTCTTCTTGTCCATGTCTCCCTATCTTAGTTTCCTAGAGCATTGGTAACAAAATGCCAACAAATGGATAACTCAGAAGAACAGAATGTTTTGTACCACAGTTCTGGAGACAAAAATTCATGATGATATCTTCCTTCTCAAAGTTCAGAGAAAGGAGCTGCTCTGGGCCTCTCTCCAGCGTCTGGTGAGTATAAGTGGACCTTGGTGTGCCTTTGTTGAAGCTAGCTGTAACTTCATATGTCATCTGCACCTCAGCCCCAGGTACTACTCTCTTCTGTTTTGTAAGACACCAGTCTTATTGGATTAGGACCCAAACCCTTCTGATGTGATCTTGGACCGTGAATTAATAATACAGTGAAACCTATGAAAATCAGGAGATTTCAAAACTTAGAAAAGAATGCCTTGTTTTCTGGATCTCACAATTTTCTATTGATTGTTTTAGTGGACAATATGTGAGTTTTCTTTGTCTGAAAGGTTTCTATCCTACATGGGTTCTGATTTTGACAGATTTGACCATATCTGCAAAGAAGGACCTATTTTCCCCAAAGAAACTCACACTCACAGCTACGGAGGTAAGGATGTCAACAATCTTTTGTGGGGAAATAGCTCAATCCATGACACTGTGTTTCTGTTTCACTTTAAATCTCGTTGTAGGAACAGAGGCTTAGAAGCTAAGTAACAGACGAGAATGACAGTTGCTGAAACACTGGCAACATGGCCTGGCTTTTAAATAAAAAATGTTCTTTTCATCCCAATAATCTACCAGATGACAGTGAACAGCCTCTTGCTTGTAGTGCCTGGCACGTGGTACTCTTGATAACAGGCACACAGTAGCCACCCACTGAGGCCAGCCATGGCGACCTAATCCACTAAGGGAACAATGCATGCTCTGGCTGGGTTGGCCCCTTCTCCTACTCAGACAGGAAAGAAAAAAACAACTCAGAAGTGAATATAGTTCACAATTTTCCTTGGAACTTAGGGTTTATCCTGTTGGAGCCTTATTTTTCTCTTGCTTTCAGAATATCTCTGCTGGCAGCCTGCATATTGCTGAACTAGTTGCTAAAATTCAGATTACAAACATAAATCCCAGCTGGAAAACAGACCCTTTGGCTCTTAGATATTCTTCATTGCAGTGTTTGAGTTTTCTTCCTTTCTTGGTCCCTGTGTTTTACTCTGTGCTGACCCTTGTTTATTTCTTTAGTGACAGCCTGAGAAAGCTGGCATGACACAGAGGGGGCATTTTCTAGAAGGATTAATCCTTAAAATAGGAAAGATACCTGGATTTTCAAAGTCAATAGTAAATTAAGAAGTTTTCACATTTAATGCCACCTTTTGCTTGTGATTTCATCTACTCTGGTGCCTTTTAACTAAACAGAGACACAAAAACCTCCCAATTACATGAGATTGGGTAAAGGACTGAAAAATATGTCATCCTATAAACAAGATTCCAATTACCTTCGACTTATATTTCCTTGTTAGCATTTATTTTCTATTTGGATCCAATTGTGCCAAAACCTTAGCAGTGGAAACAAAAGAAGCCTCATTCTTTCCCAGACTAGGACATGTCTGAGCCATATGGACCCAGCCCTGTTGCTCTGAGAAAACATGGCAGACATTCATTCTTCATCTCCAGGAGATTAAACAGATGGAGACACCACTCCATGTGGGTGGAACACTTTTACTCAAAGCACAAATAGCTGGAATAATAACTAAAGAAACTCAGCAAAGAGGTAAACTATTTTCAGGTGTAATTTTTCTTTCCTTTTATAACTTTATCCAAGTAGGAAAATTCCCTGAAGAAGAAGAAGAAGAAGAAAAAAAAAAAAAAAGCCAACATGTAAGCTTTCTATTTAAAGTGATAGGCTAACATCCAAGGATCAGTGGGCTAGAGAAATCGTGATGGGTCGGTCTGGTGTCTACTTAAGAAAACACTAGAAGAGATGGTCTGCAATTCTTTTTTTGCCTCTTTGATTTCAATAATAGAATAAGGCATTTAGAATATTCATAGGAAATGTCTTCTTTTTTCTAGATTATAAATTTTTTCCCTTCTCTAAAATATAAGTAACACATACACACCTGTCCATAAATGTGTAATCATATACCCATAAGTACACACACGTATACACTAGTGGTGATACAAAGATTGGTGTGTCAACTGTGGAATGGCATTAAATGTTGTTTCTCACTACTCCAGAAAGCTGACTCTATATCAAGAGGAATGCATATCCACTTCTCTAACAGGAATGGGTAAATCTATGGTAAGATTGTTGACGTATGAAACAAATTTACACTTTTTGTGTATTGTGTTAGATTAGCATCAAATGCTGTACAGTGGAAACACTTTTCAAGTTTCTTGAAAAAAGATAGTTGTCCTGGTGGATCAGAGAGACTTCAATTTGGGGGTAAATATTCCATTTTACAAGGGGAGATAGTAGGGTGGGAGGTACAGAGAATGATTGGGAAGATACAGACACATGTGGAAAAGATGAATCTCCTCAAGTTTCAGTTGAATAGTTTTCTAAATACGACAGAATAATTTTAAATTAGTTTTCCAGAAAATCATTATTCAAAGTCCCTCAAGTTTTTGGATTCTATATGAAGGCTTCTCTGACCTATGGATGTACAAACATATTAGTTTCCAATAAGTAACCAATGATTTCTAATGCTGTGGTAGTTATACTAAAGGTTAGACCAGAGTAGGATATACCTATATTAGTTATGGTTTAGTCTTTTTCCACTTCCTTTTTCATTTTGCTGTTTTCACTTTTTCACTCTGGAAAAAAGAAGAATAAGACTAGCCATCGCTCCTACAATCAAAATTCAAATATCTATTTTTATGCAAATGTTCTCATCTAAGAGAAATTCTCCCATGATAATACTGGCATATTATATATGTTGATAATAAATAGCAATTTATGTCTGGGATTATTGGGAAGAAGTCACAGAAAGGTCTCTGATCCCGATGGACTAAAGGAGATAAAACAGGAAACTGCAATTAGCAAATCAGGTAAGCCTTAGAGAGGCATAAAGAATAAAAAGATGTATATGCATTTTTCTCCTGGAAGGAGTTTCAAAGTACTAAAGTGAAGAAGGATATTAAAGCGATGAGATAATAGCTTCCTTTATATGTCTACCAGGATAACAGGGTTCATTGTTATCTGGGCAAAGAAACCTTCCTTAAACGCTGAACAGCACACGGGAGGATAATAATACGAATTCAATATTTTAGCCCAGAAGTCATTTACAAAAGTTGTTAGTTAGCACGGTAAAACCCACTCTACAAAGTTGGAACTGGCTCTATTTACGTTTTCTCAAACAAGTCATTCCATTCATTGAAAGCAAAACAATCCTCATTTTAGAACTGCCATGTCAAATGCTTTATGGAATTTTATAATATCCCTACAGCTTCTTAAAATATCAAGGGTTTTAATTTTTTTATTATTTCAAAACCTTGTAATTCATTTAACTTGGAGGATCTTTCTAATGCATTGTCTCTAAACAAAACTTGGCATTGCTAGTCTATAGGGGGGAAAAAAAAATCACTCACTTCATAAGAATATGGATTTAGGAGAATAACTTCAAATCTTTATTGTCAAAGAGCCCACAGAGAAATTAGTTCACAAATTATAAAAATACTCTTGAATCACATGGGAACAAATCCATGCACCCACTGCCCACGGCTCAGAATAAACATTCTGCACACCTCATAAACCTTGTCATTCCTTCCTACTCACTCCTCATGTCTCCTTCTCCACAGGTAATCCCTATCCTGTCTTCTAGCTCTGTGGATATGTTGTTGTTGTTGTTAGGTGCCATCGAGTTGATACTGACTCATAGTGATCCTATGCACAAAGAATGAAACACTGCCCAGTACTGGGCCAACCTCACAATTGCTGCCACACTTGAGCCCATTAATGCTGCCACTTTGCCAATCCATCTTTCTGGGGGACTTCTTCTTTTTCTCTGACCCTCCACCTTACCAAACATGATATCCTTCTCCAGCAACTGGTCCCTCCTGACAATATGTCCAAAGTATGACAGACAAAGTTTGTCTGTCTGTAGAACAGAGCATTCTAGCTGCACCTCTTCCAACACAGATATATTGGTTCTTTTGGCAGCCCATGGCACTTTCAATATTCTCCTCCAACACATAACTCAAAAGCAAGATTGATAATTGATAATTGATAATTGATCCAAGAAGAATGAAGCCCTTGACAACTTCAATATTTTCTCCATTGATAAAAATGTTGTTTATTGGTCCAGTGGTGAGGATTTTTGTTTAAAAAATTCAGTGTTTCCATGTTCTATTTGAACAACTGCTTCTTGATCCAGGTACAGACTCCTCATGAGCACAATTAAGTGTTACGGAATACTTGTAATTGGCAATGTTGTCCATAGCTTGTCATGATCCACACAATTGAAATCATTTGCATAGTCAATAAAGCACAGGTAAACATCTGTACCTGGACCAAGAGGCAGTTGTTGGAACAGAACATGGGAACACTGAATGTTTTAAAATTAAGAAAGGTGTGTGACAAGGTTGTATTCTTTCACCATACTTATTCAACCTGTATGCTGAGCAAATAATCCGAGAAGCTGGGTTCTAT